CATCTATGTATCCCAGATTTTATCCCAGATTTTATGCAGATACATCAACTCATCTATATACACATGACATAAAAATAAAAGTAAAACTGTCTAGGGGACAAAGAAGACTAGTTGATCAAGAGGGAATGAGCTCAACATACAATATATATGTATGCAGGTATTTATGTATGTAAGTATGAATGCATGTTTATATGTGTGAAAACCTTTAAAAAATTAAGGAAAAATTTATCAGAAATATCCCCACCCCATAAACCAACTTGTCCTTTGTTCTAACTGTCTGTTCCCCAGGAGCAGCTGTGAGAGACAAAAACATTCGGTTTAACTAGGTCAGTACTTTCCAATCCCCTTGCTTCTTTCCTGGTTCCTGACTTACCTCGTTTCCTCTGCCCCTTTGAAAAGAAATTGACTTGTTTGCTGCAAATGAAAAAACAATTTTTCTCACCTCCTGCATTTTTATCATCCAGTGGTTCACTTGCTTAAGCAAATTGCCTGTGTGTGCCTACTGCATCCTGGGCACTGGGATACAAAAATCTGTAACCACAGCCCCACTCTAAAAAGCAGCTAGCTGCACATGGAGTGAGTGGAATGGGCAATAATGAAGAGCTTTTATAAAAGCTGGGCTCTCCTAGAGACTTCTTCCTAGTGCCAGAGAAGGTGGGCTGAGTAGTAACAAGGTGCTGGCTGAGTAGTGTGTGTCAACCAGGTTTAACAAATCCATCCATGATACAACTAAAAGCAGCTTTAGATAGACACACAATTAAAAGATGTGCCACACAATGGAGAGACACCATATAAGACACCATGACAAGAGGTGCCCATCAAACACAAATATTCTCTTATCTCATACACTCCAGGTTCCACTTATGCAGGCAAGTAAATGGGTCTTAAAGGTGATTGGAGAAGAAAGAATGCCAGGCACTTAAACCCCAGTGGAACGGAGTCTGGACCCATGTTGAAGCAGTATGTTAGCTCTAATTTGTGACTCGTCACAGAAGATGTTTGCCTTCACAGCTTCCTGTGATTTGCCTGCAGTGGCATTGATTACCCCTTATTATTTATTGTTATACTACAGAAGAACATGAATGACTTGAACATTATTTTCTGGGTTTTATTTCCCTCATCACCTAGCATAGGTTTAGCAAATGAAGATTTTAGAAAGATGTTTGTTTCACAATGAGCCATGAAACAAAATACCTAGCCAGTATTTCTCAAAGGTGTCAAATATATAGTCTGAGAAGCTTCCAGAGCTATAAGAAGCTTAAGAGGCATGATGACTGAATTGTGGCATCAAACTCTGAAACAGAAAAAAAGTACATTGGGTTTGGGTTTGTTTTTCTATTTATTAATAAGTAAACCTAGAAAAGAATAGGCATTACTTAATAGTAATGTACCAACATGGTTCATTAACTGTGACAAGTGTGTTATAAGACGTTAATTATAAAGGAAATTGGGTGTGGAATGTACAGGACCTCTCTGTACTGAATCAGCAGTATGATTCTCAATCCAAAGTTCTTCTCAAACAAAAGATTTAACAAAACTTTAGATAACCAGCAAGCATCTCTCCCTTCCAGTCAGAGCTCATATTCAGTCCAATTCCATTTCCTCTATGTATTGTTAATAAAAGATCTCCTTCAACAGCCTAAACATGCTCTTGCCTAATAGTGTAAAGCCTGAGTTCTAGTCCCCCACCTATGCCACTTCCCCACTGTGTGACCACACATATATTACTCTTCTTTCCCTCTTCATTGGTCTCAGACGTACTAACCAGTCAATGAAGAAAATAAGGCTATAAAGTTCTTCCAACTGTTCCACAAATCAGGATGATGTGTGGATGACTACAGTTATCCATGGATTCTAAGATAGTCCTAGGCAAATAGTATACAGTGAGTAGAGATTTCTTGCATGAACATACTATGGTAGGGCTTAGACATGCTTGTTATCTGGCAAACTTAGAATTGAAGCCTAATTACTCAATATGGCAGCAAAAGCAGATGGGTCTTTGGGAGGTTCATAGGAATACTACCATCATGAGTGGGTTAGCATCTTTTTCAAGAGAATAGGAGCAATCCCTTGACACTGGACTAAGTCTTCCGGGAGCAGCTTTGATCTCATGGGATTGGATTAGTTTCTGAGAGAGTGGCTTGTTAAAGCAAGGTACTCATTCTACTTCAACATATCCCCTTCCACTTCTCCACCTCCACCATGAACTGATTAAACAATTCACAACGAGATAAACAATTGCTAGCATCATACTCTTGGGGCTCCAGAACCATGATCTATCTATCTAAACCTGCTTCCTTTACATATTAATCAGCTTACAGTATTTTACTATGGCCACACAGAATGGGATGGAACTATATATGTGTATATACTATAGTAACTTTTTCTCTTTTTAAGACAGATCTCACTATATAGCCCTGAGCTGGCCTAGAACTCACTATGTAGACCAGAATGACCTTGAGTTCACAGAGATGAACTTACCTCTGCCTCCCGGGTGCTGGAATAAAAGGCATGCACCACCATACCTAGTTAGGCTCTAACATTGTAGCCCCCTGCCTTTAAATGGAAAGCTCTAGAGTCTACCCAGTGTTTCCAATGCTTTTTTTTAAAAGCTACACCCTCTGGATCAAGCTCTGCAGACTGCCAACTCACTAAAACATAGATGGAGCAGCTAGCTAGACAGTGAGTGTGTCTCATCTCCATCTCCAATCTGGATTTCACCCTGCCTTCTGGAGGTGAAGTTTTTGCCAAGGGATCTGTATGCTTGCTTCTTCTTAGAATCTCTTTCCAACAAGCACAGAGTAAAAGTGTCTAGAATTCCCCAGCCCTTGGTTAGCATCCCCTGATAGATGACTGGAAGAAGATAACTCACATCAGCAAGGACAGACAAAGCCTCAAATCACAAAAATTTGTAAGAGTCCATCCCCATGCTCAATTCATATAAAGGCTCAGATTTTAATCTTATTTCCCATGCTCTGAGATTCAGACAAGATTTTCTCTGTGACTGGCCAGCCCCCCTCCCCGACTTGGAGTGGTCATGTATGAAGTAAGGATGCAGAGTCTTTCCAGCTCCTCAGAGGGTCTGTGCTGTGCATTATCCCTGGGAATGTCTTCTACCCAAACATCCCACCATCAACAGCTCAACAACCATACTCCAAAAGGCAGATTCCTGGGGTGCCCTGACATCTCCCCTGCTGCCCTGCTGAGACTCATTCTGAAGCCTCCGAGATAAGCTCTTGGTACACTGTGTGTCTTCCATCTCTCAGAGTTGACTCTCTTGCTGTCATCACTCACTGCACTGTCTCCTCCAGCAAGCTGTGAGTCCCATCAGTCTGCTCACTAACCCTATCCAGCACAGTGCATGGTGTGTAAACAAAGTAAGGTGTATGTGAGCACTTAAACTATTGAGTGCTCTATAATTATATAATGTCCTGGATAACTTAACTCAAATTTCCCTTTTAACATCACCCATATTAAAAGAAAAGAAAACTTCCACTCCTTGAAATAGTCATAAATCCCTGATGGATTTTCCTTTTTAAGAAGAAAAATGGATAATTTGTCCTCATTGTGCCCCCACTTTCTCCTGGCCCCCTCTCCTATGCTCTCTCTCTCTCTCTCTCTCTCTCTCTCTCTCTCTCTCTCTCTCTCTGTGTGTGTGTGTGTGTGTGTGTGTGTGTGTGTGTGTGTTCTCTCCTTGTTCTGTATCTGTTACCATCTCTTTCACATATCCTATCTCGTCTGTTTCTCTGTCTCCCCCATCTGTCTCTCTCTCCTGCATCTTCACCATTCCCTGGCAGTTCCTATCTGCCCAGTCTCCATGTGTGCCTGGTATCTCACAGATGAGATTACATTTTCCTTCCCAACCATCTGTACTCTGGGGGGGAAACAGCAGCATTCCATGGTCAAGAGTGTGGGCTTAAGAGTTAGATTCATGCCTCTATGCCTGGCTTTTCCTCATAGTAGTTATTCGACCACTGTGGAGAGATATTGATAATCTCTGTGTCTCAGATTTCTTATCAGTAAAGTGAGGCACAAATACCCCTCTCAGAGAAAGGTTTTGAGGATTAAATGAGATAATGCTTGGAAAATTCTTAACACACTTGCAAAACTGTCTAGATATGAGCTCCTTGCTAATATTCTCTCTCTCTCTCTCTCTCCTCTCTCTCTCTCTCTCTCTCTCTCTCTCATGACTCTGTGTCACCTACAAAATTATTGATCCCAGTGAGGACATCTTTGAAGAATATCTAAACCTAATATTTTCCCTCACCAAGACCACTCCAGCCTCTTCCTCCTCCTAACAGATGGCCATCCAGAGCCCAGTTTTCTTGCTCTCAACTGTCTTGTCTGTGTGTCTGCCTTAATTCAGGAAGACTTTATCTGAATGAGGTATCCCTAGGCCTGACCTTCCTGCAGAAACCACCTTGACTGTTTTTAGTAGCTGTAAACACCTAGGGTAGGTGCAGGAGAGTGTGACTCCAGGAGTTGAGTGACATCCAGGAATGGGCATTTTAAAAATTATCAGAGTGGCTCCAATTGGAGAAGAGAGCTTCAAATGTCTGACTTAAACTGGTGGTAGTGAATGAATCAATCAGCCAGGGATAACAAATTATTAGAGAGGAATTAATAAGTCAGTAGGAGACAGTAAACGGTGGAAGGGAGGGATGAATGAGACGGAGAGAGTAGGCACTTGCTGTTACTTTCCCCCCTGATATACCTGTGCTCTGGTCTCCAAAATGTGTGGTCATTCCTTCTGTGGCTTTTAGAAAGTGAGGCTTAGCTATGCCCTTTCTCTTCCCAGCCCCCATCTTTTTGCTTTCCTGGTATCTGTTTCTCCGTCTCCTCCCAGCCCCCTTCCAGGTTCCCATCCATTTTCCCTCTTTGGCTCCCACTGATCCCCCCCCTCCAATGTGCCCTCTCACCTCTTCTGAAATATTCATAAATGCAGCTTCTTGCGCCACTTTCAAGGCACTTTCAAATGAGGAGGCTTTGGACACAGCAGCTACACAAAACAGCTTTATTTGATAAACCACGGTGACTACTAACAAGATCAGAATAGAGCACATTCTGAAGAGGGGTGGGGGTGGGGAGAAGAGGCAGCCTCCACTGCTGCTATCTGTCCCATGCCAGGGATGAATTTCCTGCCTCCTAGAAGCCTCCTGCAGCCTGTACTGGCTGCTTTGAGGGTGGCCCTGGGCAGAGAAAGTAACTGTGTGAAAGTTTCTGGCCTGAGGCATGCAGAGACTCAGCTGAGAGGAGCTGCCCACCCCACCCCCCACAGCAACCCCCTTTCTGCTTCAGGAGCAGGATTTGTGCCAGAGATGGTCCAACTACTTCAAGCCAGGCTCTTCCTGTTTCCGTGGTATATGTCTTGTCCTTGGTTTCCAGAACCCTCTAAGAACAAAAACCGGAATATGCACACCCATTTCCAGCTCACAATGGCCTCACTATTCATTTTGTCCTTGAGACCCCCACAGCCATTCCAGTCACTTTTCCCCACCTTTACCCCACCCCCACCCCAACCTGCAAGATAAGCCAAGAGGCTCAGTCCTGTGGGGGAGGAGAACAAGCACCTTTCATTTTGTGGCAAGAAAGTAGCCTCCTTAGGAAGAGGGCCACAGACCCTGAAGAAAGTGAGAATGGTGAGGAGTAACTGGAAAGCAGGTATGGGACACGAGGGAAGGGCTGTGCTATGATCTATATGTCTCTTCTTCCCACTATGAATCTGGAAGAGAAACTGGGGCCCAGCTCCCAGATGCTAATGAGGAAACAGCTCCCTACAGAAAGCCTAGCACAAACATACACTTCTTTCCTAAATACGGACCAGCCGTCAGAGTTCCCCAAATCCAGTGGGGGTGAACTCATCTATTCCACATTTCTCCATATGTCCATTTTTACCCAAGTGGACTGTGAGACCTGCAGAATTGTAGGAGAAAGTGGGTGGGAGGTTCATCTAAGTTCCTTCATCCATGAAGTAAGTGTGCGTGCATGCGCACGTGTGTGTGTGTGTGTGTGTGTGTGTGTGTGTGTGTGCGCGCGTGTGCACATCTATGCATACCCACATAGACAAAAAGCAAATAGTCTTACCCAAACAAGTGACTCTTGGTGCCAAGTAGCACCAACACCTATGGAAAACTTCTGGGAGATGATGGGGTGAGTGAGGGAACAAGAAAGATTTGTCCTACATTTCACAGTTCTGTAGAAGGGGGACAACAAGGGTTGGGGGAGGGAGCCAAGCAGCATACAGACTAAATACAGATTCCCCTCCAACCCCTCTTTCTCTGGTTTTCCTTCCCAATTGCCCCTTCATAGGAACGGAATGGTCCACAGCTTCCTCAGCCCTGTTGCCTTGTAATTCTCACAATTATAAACAAACAGAAGAGGACTCTGGGTTGTTGGTAGGATGCATTATCTACTAAGCAACACGGAGTTCCTGCCAAAGAGAAATCTCTATTCAAAATTCAGTCTAGCCCTGGTGTCTGAACCAACAGTGAACTGATCCAGCTTTTGGAAAGACCCAGAGCTCCTGGCTCAGGGGACTGAAGCGCTAATTATTTGCCTATATACACAGCCTACCCTGCCCTGCTGGCTCTAGGAAAACAGGGTAAGAACTCAAAGGGTTACCCTTCAAGCTTCAGCATTCTTAACCCTTGGGAGCCCAGCCTTAGGAATCCAATAGAAGACAAAGAGTTAGATCTAGAAAGTGAGTAATTAGCAGTAAAAACTTCTGCAGCAGAGGGAGAAAAAAAGGAAGAGAGGGGAAGGGAGCTAGAGAGCTAAGGAAAAAGTAGAAGGAAACAAATTAAGTCAGGACTCATCTTCAATTAGGATCCATAAAACATTCTCCCATTTAATACAGAGAAACTGAGGCTTAGAGAGAATAGGAGACTTGTGCGATGTCAGCCTCGGGAACATTAAACAGCTGGTCACAGGTCTGTTAGCAAGGCTCCATCCATCTCTTCCCACTGAATCACAAACCTCTGAGAAGTGGGGGACAAGACAGAGCTTCGAGGCAGGGAGCAGGGAAAGGAACTAGGGGTAGGGAGTAGATGCAGCCATGCTACCTGGTTCTCAGAGCGCGAGGATAAAGTTTGGGTCAGACCCAAGGCACCAGGCTTCTCTCTGGTCCCGGCCCTAGTCCACAAGGGTCTCTTGACTATAGGGAATGGATTTCTCATGCATCTGCTCTCCTCCCTTTCCCATGTTGGGGCCAGGGCCCTGGCTATGCCCAGAAGAATAACTGGCTGACTTCTCCCCGCTGCTGCTGTGAGGGGTGCCTTTGCACCTGCTCTGATCACAGCACAGCATGGAAGTGCAGGCTTGGCGAAATCGAGGGTCGAAAAAGGCGTAGAGGAAGGGGTTGAGGCAGCTGTTGACATAGCTAATGCAGGTGCAATAGGGAAAGACATTCATGAGGAAGCTGTCAAAGTCACAGGGCCAGTGCAGCAAATTCCCCAGCATGTAGAGCGTCTTCACCAGGTGGTAAGGCATCCAACACAGGGCGAAAGTCACCACCAACACCACTATGATGCTGAGCAGCCGGCGCCGCTTCCGCAGGCCTTCAATGCGCTCCTTACGGAAATGGCCCGCGATGGTTTGGGCAATGAAGAAGTAACATGTCAGCATGATGGTGAAGGGCACCACAAAGCCTACGGCAGTGGATGACACCCCAAGGCCCACCTCCCAGGCCCACTCCGAGTTTGAGGTAGCCACCATGGAGTAGTCCATATAGCACTGGACCTTGGTGCTGTTTTCTGTGTTAGCAGTGGAACGGAACACCATTACAGGCACAGCTAGAAGGGCAGCCAGCACCCACAGGACCGCTGTGGCCACAACTCCGTTGACCCTCAGCCTCAGTCGAGCATTGGCCACTGGCCTGACGATAGCCAGGTATCGGTCGAAGCTGAGACCTGTGAGGCAAAAGACACTGGCATACATGTTGACAAAGATGAGGTAGCTGCTGAGCTTGCAAGAGAAGGTTCCAAAGGGCCAGTCAAACTCCCGGTAGGTATAAGTGGCCCACAGTGGCAAAGTCACCACAAAGGTCAGGTCGGCCACTGCCAGGCTGGCAATGAAGATGTCAGCTGAGCGTCTCTTTTCCCGGCTGCTCCGAAACACGGTCCAGAGCACCAGGCCATTGCCGGTGGTGCCTAGAAGGAAGACCAGAATGTAGATGGCAGGGATGAGAGCTCCAGAGGACTTCCAGTCTTCGTACTCACATTCAGACTGGTTGTCGGCCCCATAGTAGTTGTAACTGTCATCTTCCATACTGGTGAATGGAGTGAAGGTGAAGGTAGGTGGTCAGTCCCAGGGACACCAGCTCCAGAGCTATATCTCCAACTCAGCTAGCGCCCTGAGTAAGAGAAGGTCTGAGGGCACCCTTCCCAGCATGCAGAATAAGCCCCTCTGGAAGCTCAGACCCAGCAGGATGTGCTTCTCTGGCAGCTTCTCTCTACCTTCCCCTTCCCACCCAGCTCAGCCAAGACACTTCCTTGCACCCTCCTGAGTCTCTGTCTCCTCCTAAACTCCACACTCTCTCCTCCCACCCTGAGGCCAACTCCTCCCTCTCTAGTGAGTCTTAAGATCTTTAAGTTACAGCCCACTTTTTTTCTTCTTCTTCTTGCCACTGGGTAAGTAGACTAAATTGACCCCTACTGTGCTGGGCTGACAATTATCTGTGCTTTGCAAGCCTGCTGCCCCACCTCCTCTCTCTAGCTGCCACCAGCCTTCACCCCAGACTCTTTCCTCTGCCCCCCACCTCATGTCTGACTTCAGGGTATCCATCCCCTCCTCAGTCTTGACCCTCCTGTTCTCACCCTCTCCCAACCCTTCTAACTGATAGGGATTATGCAGACTGAAATCCAGTTTGACCCGGACAAGCATGGGGCAAAGAGGGTGTGATATTTCACAGGGGAGTCCCAGCATCTGGATGGTCCCTGCTGACCGTGCACTCCCACCCCTCCCCCACCCAGATGAGACCCTGGGACTCCCGAACTTCCTTCATTCTTCTCTATGCCTTGGCTCCAACCCTTCTTCTGAGAACTTTGGTATTTTGCAGGAAAAAAAAAGCATAATGAAATTTATCTACAGCTCATAAACTGCTGGGAGGCCACAGGTGGTAATTTGGAGATAGAGGTGATAGAAAGTTAGTGACAGAGTCACAGGATGAAAGAAACCAGAATAAAATGACTGCTAACCAAGTCATTAAACCTATGGGGAAACTGAGGCTTAAGGTAAGTGTCTTCGCAAAGGTCACATTTTGTTGTGATTGGTTGCTGCCTTCTTCTTCTCCTCCTTCTTCTCTAAGTTCATAGAGAATGCACTCTGGTACTGTGGTTGGCTGAATAAGTAAGTGGACTAATTAGGAAAAGAGTGAGAAAAATAGAATAGAAAGTATATGGGTTACTGTGTGTTGAGATCATGAACTCAGCTCAATCCTCGGGTTCTTACCAATCAATATCCATGAGCCAGGAGATTTCATAAGACCACATAGGGTCAGGAAGCTGAGTTTGAGGAGGACACAGAAAAAGGAAAAACCCTGAGTAGATGTAATAGTCACCCTCCCATCTGGCTTTTTCACCAGGACTTCTTCAGGAAGAGAAAGGATGCACAAAATACGATTTTTTTTTAAAGCATCCTTTCTACCTCAACCCCCAAGAGTGAGGGAAGCTACCTGAATTTGGCCGGGAAGGTTACAAACTTAGCTTAATGGTAGAGTGTGAGACCCTGGATTCCACCCCTCCCCACCCTGGGGGTGGGTGTTGGAAGACAGGAAAGGAGAGTGGGGGGAGGAAAAGAGAAGATGTGGGAGAGAGGGAAGGGAAAAGTTGGGCTAGAATGAAATGGACCAAAATGTGATAAGTCTTAGCCATCCACAGCAAAGCTGACAGCCACAGGGATCTTCAAGTTGAGACCCCAAATTCAGATACCTTCATGCACCAGCCAAACATGTATTTGGACAAAGTTTGTGATAACAGGGAATTACTCTGTGACAAACTGGAGTTTGTCAACCAAAGGAAACTAGGCATGCAGTTTGCATGCCTACTGTGGTTCTAATAAAATAAAACAAGAGTCAACAAAACCAGTTGATAGGTTTTGAGTAGGAGCAGCTTCCTGAGAATGGGAGGTAGAAGAAACACAAAGAAGATACACAAACAAGGAAGCCAGAACATAAAATGCAAAGAAAGAAAAAAAAAATGAAAACAACTATGGCTGAAGTCTTAGAATACAATCTCCACAGGAAAGATGAATAGAGAGAAAGATAAGAAAAGTCCTAGGGTCTCTCCTGACCTTTAGCTACAAGCAGCAGTAATTACAGGGCTGTCTGGGTCTCATGAGCACTATACATTGTTCACACACTGAGTGTCAGGCATTCTCCTATGTTTTATTGTCTCTTTCCGCCATCAAAACAATGTGAAGAACAGGCTGGGGAGACTGCCTGGGGACACAAGTTCATATCCCCAGCAATCCCTATTATCCCCATGAAAGCAGGAAAGACAACAGGCATCTGTAATTTTGTGTTATAGAGCAGAGACAGGGAGATCTTGGGGCCTCACTAGCCAGCCAGTCTAGCCAAAGCAGTTGGATTTAAGTTCAATGACAGACACTAATCAAAAAACAAAGTGGAGAAACTATTGAGAAAACCATTCTAACATTAAATTCTGGCCTCCAAATGCACAACTGAGTACACCAGCACACACATATGCACTTGTGCATACATCACCCACACACGTATGTCCATGCACATATACAAGCCGCACACATGCAAACACATTCACACAGACCTTAGGAAATATATGCTCTTATTTAACCTTAGCTGAAAGACGAAAAAAACTGAGACACAAGGGAGAAACAGTAACTTGTTTACTCTCCCACTAAAGACTTCAACTCTTTAAAATTGGAATTGTCACATGTTAAGCATTAGAAAGAAATGGAAGATGCTAGGATGGCTGTAATTTGTTATCTGCCATTGCCAGAAAGAACACCTGGTTGGCTATGCTAACTGAAAAGATAACAAGACTCTGCCTCTAAAACACTGACATTCTACAGAGCAGTAGCCATCACACTCAGTTTCACCTGGATCTGGGGCTTAATCAACTTCCCAGTAGACATGCCCACTTGCTTCTTCTGAACAGGTGACACAATGGCAGTGTGGGTGAGGAGAAATAGTTAACTTTCAGCCACTTCAGATCTATTTGCCTGTCAGGAGGGATCTAAGAGTTGCACTGGGGGCAATCTTCTCAGGTCAGATCAGATAAAGAGTAGACTCCTGCTGTAGTTATTCCAGGATAGAGACCACTTCTGACATCACTAGCAGTCACACACATATTTCCTTTTTGCCTCCAGAAAGATCCAGAAGCCGCCCTAGGCAACTGAGAACACAAAGGGAGAGAATCATGGAGGCATGCAATAATCTTGAAATCAACTTCTTGTCTGTCTCTCCCAGCTGTCCCACTTGGATTCCTAGCCAGATGCAAGCCCATAGTTCTCCATGGGGAAGAATACGGACACATTTCTTTTATTCTCTGACTCCATTGAAAGGGAAGGGAATTGGGAGTCAGGGATCAGGCAGGGGCTAATGATCTGTGTCTAGAGTGGTGGGGTGCTGTTAAAACCCAGCATCCAGCCTAGAGCCAGCTGGAGCCCAACACTGATGGACAGGCTCACTCCTCACCCAGCTTGGAGATGATCCATCCGTCTCCCACCACACTATCCATTATAGAAGATGCAAGATTGGTAATGAGAACTGAAGTTGAAGGCCAGCCTTGTGTACTCCAGGACTCAGAGGCTTCCCATAAACTACAAATACCCCAGCCCTGGGACAGTTAGCTGTCCATCATCCACCCTCACTGCTTAGCAGGTAATAAATGTTTGTTGAATTAAAGCATTAGGGATGTGCTTAGAGGGATGGTAACAACTTGAGTCTTACCCAAAGGGCTATTCTACTGTAACAGCAAGGGCAACATTTTGCAAAACTGACTCAAGATAATCCACTTGCAGCCATTTGGTAAAGCAGAAACAGGATTGTTGGCCAGAGTCCCCAGGGCTAGCTAGCCCAGGAGAGAAAGGAGCAGGTTTCCTAGGGACTTCTCTCTCCTGGATGGTTTCTACCAGGTATTGTGACAACTCAGAGAGAAACACCTACTGGCAAAGAAATGACTTGGACCTGTTCCATGCTCTTTGAGAAAAGTGCATGCTGCTGGGAGAGTGAGAATTCTAGAGTTGGAGGTTTAGACGTCCTCCCCAACCTTGACCACAGGCTGACTCCTGACACAGGAAACAGAGACCGTCCTTGCCCTGCTCTGTGATGGACAGTGCCATGTACACTTAGTGAGTATAAGTTTTATATGTGATGTGAAGCCACTTAGATATGAAGTCTAGGGAGGTTTGTGAACAGACTGCAGGACTAAGTGTATGAATTCACGCATCCACAAGGGTATGCTTACTTGCATGTGCAATAGATAAACGCATCTGTGTATGTAGGGGAATGTGATTTCTTGTATTAGTGGGGTAGGAATGTGCACTGGACACACACTTCTGCCTTCAGAAGAGTTGCTTATGTGTGTGTGGTGGGGCTGTGTGTGCCCTGGACTCACACAGCGACAGCATAGGATCAGGGATCTAGGTAAACATCCTGGCTAAAGGACAGGAAAGTGTGCTTAACTGGCTCTCTCTAAAGCTTTGAGTTCAGGAGGAAAGCTGAAGCCATCTGCTGGGACCCCACCCAGACCTGGCTCAAGCTCTGTGCTAGGACATCAAAGTGGAAATGGAGCCTTCCTCTGCCCCTGGCTGACTTCTCACCCCCTCCCTCCCAGTTCTCTGCTGCAGCCTCTGACTTCACAGGTCTGCTTTGAACTCCGCAGTTTGGGAACTCACCCAGGACAACAGGGCCTTTTCCCTCTCTCTCTCTCTCTCTCTCTCTCTTTCTCCTCCCCAAGAGGCAGTCACAGCTGTGTTCCTAACAGCTGGCTTGTTGTCTGAGGGGGAAGAGGGGGCAACCCAGCTGAAACTTGGCTACCCACCTCAGGCCAATATTGCACCATTATTGCCTTCAGCCACAGAAATGCAGTACCATTCCAGCCCAGCTCCTTATCTGACCAAAACCAAATGGTCAGCCTGCAGCAATTAAAGCCAAATCTCCCCCACCCTACCCCACCCCTCACCCCACCTCTCACCCCACCCCCATGACAACAGCTTCTACCCACAACTCATTCCACCATTTGCTACTATTTCCAACTCCTTGTCCCTATTCCAACTTCTCCAGGCTCCCTGGGCTTCAGGACAGCAAAGGCAGAAACAGTACTAGCCTGGAACCCAGGGATATGAGTTCCAATCCTCTCCTGCCTATTAATTCAACCACTGGACAGCTAGCATGTGGCAGACTGTGTGTGAGGCTCTGAATACATAATGTGAACAATTCAGAACATGTCTCTGAACCCCCACACTTGCTAGAGGTGAGGAAGTGAAAGGTTAGTAAAGGCCAGGCAGAGGGGTCCTGATAAACACCACAGAGAGAATTAAGCCAGGCAAGGCCACAGAGAATAAATGACAGCTAGCAGCTTAAGAAAGCATAGCCTGTGGTGGCCTCATCTGTTCTAGCAGAATTTTTGAATGATCAGCTTGCTTTGTAGTCTAAACAAGTTTCTCAATCTATCCATGAAGACATAGGACCAGTCAGGTTTATT